CTGGTGTGTGTGTGTGTGCGCGCGCGGACGCGCCGGATCCAATCGAACGGTATCGCGCATTTCGCAGCGTGCGCGCTCGCGGTCATCCCCCGCTGACAAAAATTCGAAATTTTCGTCCGATTATTCGCACCGAAAGCCGGTTTAACCGGCGCGTGACGTCAAGCTGCCCGGAATCCTGTCCCCGGGAAATGACGATGTAAACTTTCGCGTGTAAAAATACCGGCGCCGCGAGTAGAAGAGGGGAGGGCTCGGAGCGGCGCCATTGTTGCGGCATTATTCGGAAGGAAATTGCCACGGCACGAGCCTCGCGATTTTCAATTTGCAAAATGGAAATCGTCCCGCGATTTCTGTCGAACGTGTACGAAGGATTCCGTATTCAATCTCGATGTAATGTATCAATTCGAAAGTGAATCGCGCTGCTTGTTCTCGTTCATAGGTTTCCGCGATGCCGATGGAACTACTCGCAGTTTTATCATAATGCGAACGCGATGTAGGAATCACTGTTGCGAGTAATGAGATGCATGTAAATGCCTGTGTAACTTTGCTAATTACCATTCGGAAGGTTTGAAGCATTTGCAGAACTGATTGCTTATTGAACATATGGTAAATAACAATGGGTACAGTTTGTTCACGTGTATTCAGATAAATTGCTCATTGAGAATCAGTTATAGAGTTTTCCAAAAATTTACTGATACTCAGTATGTAAATTCTACAATGATCCTTCAATTTATCCGTCGAAACGAACGTCCCTTAGCACTAAAACTATCAGTTCGATCGACTTTTCGAAGTTTCTCTATAAAATCTACAAAAGTGCATCCACTGAGACTTCAATTGACTTAAAATTCAGTCTTCCTGTCACTAAATCAAATTCCTTAATAATTTCTCAGAAACATCTCTTGTCTTCCTAATAATTGCGAAAGAAAGACTTCAGGATCTATCCAGCACTTTCAGTGTCAAACCTCTCAAGAATCGAAACCAATCGCAAACCCAAGAGCACATTATGCTTCCTAACAAGCGAACTATTTCTTTCCAGATTCTCCGTGCGCGATTGTAGTCCTTCCCTCTCGTTCCACGTCTAACAACGCGTCATTAACAGCGCGATGGCGACGATAACGGACCGCCTCGTTCCGTGACGAGTATTCGATTGGCCTAGCTGTTCGCGCGGCGACCAAACGAGGAAAAGACCGGGGAACTGACCCGCTGAGACGCGTTCCGTTGATTACCCGCGCGGTTTTTCGAACGGAACGAAAATTAATAGTATTTATCGTCCGTCGAGCAACGCCAGATCCCCATGAATAATGCACGGGGCCCGCGGAGGTTCGATTTATACGGGAAACGCCGCCGCGAACTGGAACGGAAACGTTTCCGAGTCTTACACGCGGCGGAGCGATCCTCGAAACGGCTCGATAAGGCTCCGTTCTACGCGGCGATCCATCATGGCACCGATGGTCGGCCTGTCCGCCGGGTCAACAAATCACGAGTCACTTTCAGGTCTCGGACCCCGTCCCCGCGGCCCGTATCCGACTCGTTTCGCCCGTTCTGCTCGTTTTCGGGGGCATTAGCGGGACGCGTCGCGACTCCGCGTTCTGGATCATCCTGGGGAAGCCGCGAATGAAGAACGACACGCGCGAATGTATTGATGGACGCTGTTAACCCTTCGATACCCGGGATTTATGATCGATAGATATTGAAAACGGGGATACACCTTTAGCCCGCGCTTGTTGCGTCCGTGACATTTTTTTCCAATTGAGTTTATAGATACATTTTTAATAGAAACAGTCGTTCCACAGTTTCTTTCGGAGCGTTCGGTTGGATAGTTTTGGGGATTTTTTGCGTGGAGAAGTATGTTTATTAACGCATTGCATACTGGTAACGAGAAATCTTGTTTTTATATAAATGCACTTAGCTGTGCAACTTTACTAATTACCACAGCCTTCACTCTGGTTTCCCTTCAAATCACGTATAAATCTTTCGCCTTTTACTAAAGATTTCCGTGGAGGGAAACAACTGATGAGTCTATGAAATCATTTTTTATAGTACCCAACTTTTTAAGTTGGGTCATTTACAAAAAAATTAGTATCTAGAATTTTTAGCGTAGGTTAAGGTATTTTTAAGAAGAGTGAATGTAAGAATGAGTGAGTGAGAAGAATGCTTGCGGGGGAGAGAATGATTTTTGGGAGATGCCTGTAAAAGAGTCGTGTGTTAGCCTCCGTGTCATTGAGTTGTACTTTTTACGTGTTGTCCGTGTTGTTTCCATATTTTATTATGTCGGAATGTAGAGTGTTATTTAATATTCGCGACAAATATGTTTACAAGTTATTTATTTGCGTAGATGAGTGTTCGGAGGCAGAACGGGTAATGTGTTGTAATGTAAAGTAATGTAATGTAAAAAGGTGCTTCCTCGCGCCTTTC